CCGACCATCGTTTGTTTTAAAATGCTTTTGGAACTCATAATGTTCTGGAGGCTTCCAATAATGTTTTAATATCTCTACTTTTTGAAACCGTTCCATTTTAGAAACGGTAACATATCGCCCAATATTGTTTTTAGGAAAATCATTGGAAAAAACTATATTAAAGCATAATATTCAAAATCGTATAAAAAATATAGATTATAATAAGCTTCACCAATAGCAGAAGAAGTGCATGGCTTCTCATCACTTTCAGACTGGGTAAATTTTGTGTCACCATTTCAAGACACCTTTCGTTTTATGCCAGCTAAAACACAAGAGATTTTAGTGATTTTAGAGAACAATTTAATAATACTCCAACGAAAATTAACCTTTAAAGAAGTTTCTTATATCCATTTCGCATCCGTTTCAATAAGTTAAAAAAATTGAATTCAATTACAAAACTACTCGAAATATATCTAAATTAATTTTAGATTCAATTAATATGCGGATAGCGTAAAGTTGAGAAATAATAAAAATACAGCTGATCGCTTCACAAAAAAACCAAATGGCGGTTATAATACAATTGTCAAGTAGTTACAATAAATTATACACTTAAACAAAAATTATAGGAATAGGGTAAAAATACCAATAATAGTGATTGATGTACAAGTCAACATGTTAAGATAAATAAAAATTTTTGTCACAAATTTTTGTTCTATAGTATTGAACTTATACGATTCCATTGCTATGTTCTTTTGGGGCAAACAGTAGTCATCAAATTTTTTTAATTACTTTATTAAGTTCACGTTGCATGACCGCATCCTCACTGCGCACTTCGCCAAGCATCGAGTTTGGTGAACTATCATTTAGAAATAATGTGTTATAAATGGACACGCCCTCCTCTCCAATCAGCGACAGGATGGTAGCTATTTTAGTTTTTTCATTTGCTGCCATTTTCCCATTTGCGATCATCCATACCATAAAATTTTGCTTCCATTTAGGCCATTCCGTTGCTATTTTACCGCAGGCCAAATGTTTGGCACTCTTTGACTTTCAGCCATCTTGACACAGGCACACTATGTTTTTATTTCTTAATGTAGTTTGAATATCCCACTTCTGACACCATGTAACAATTTATTAAATTTTATTGTTAAAAGTCATACATAATATAATTATTGTCTTTTATTTTATGCTTCGTAAGTCGTGCACGCCATGTGATCAACAAGCCGCTAGACTTGAATCCCGTGTTGCCACATTGATTGGTTGTTGAACATGTGGGGTGTGTTGTGGCCATACTAAATAATTTATTCTAACTTATTACATTTGGTAATAGATGATATATAAGATCCGTATTTATTGCAATCCTGGAATTCTTCCCACTGTCAAATAAGCAACTTTTACTTATTTGCCTTGCCTTTAAAGCTTTTTACGATGCAACAGTAACTAGTGTGAAAATACTAGCAAAATCTTCCATGCAAAGAAAAATCAAGGGGCCAATCACTTCAAGAAAAAACAAAAAAAATATATATATGGTATAGAGTATTATGGTATATACATATAAACCGTAATATACATAAAAATTAAAATAACCTTTTCGTTTAATATATAAGTTAAATATTCTTTTGTTTAATTTAGAATAATTTTGATGTTGCTTCTTCGGAGGCTGAAGCAGGAGAGACCGAGCACACTTTTGCGAAGTTGGGAGCTACCGAAGTCAAACGGGACTTTTCCAGACAAACAAGTGGAAGTCCCGTTTGGTAGCAACCATGCGTTTGAACAATATCGAATGATTGCTCCGTTAATGAAACTAAGCACAAGGCCAGATTTTGGGGTACGCGGGAGTTAACTCCTCCCTTACTAATTTCAAACGTCCTCGTTTGGGCCCCTGTACCTAGTTCCACACACCGCATCCGCACTCCACTCCGCAAAAAAGAACCCGACACTCCCACTTAAAGCTACCATTTTTTATTGAATTAAAAACTTACCTAAATTTATTTAAATTTAAATTTATAAAATATAATTATAATATTAAATAATTAATTTATTGTTTAACTTATAATTTTTTTTCAATTTAATTTCAATAATGTTTTTTTTTTATTACAACATTTTTTTCTACAATTTTTTTATTTAGTAAAGAATTAAATATGAATAAAGAATTAAAAATTTTTTTTATTACATTTTTTCATACAATTATTTTTATTTAGTAAAGAATTAAATACTGTTTTCTTTATTCTTACTTATTATTCACTCAATCATTATTTGATTTAGTTGTAAAGTATTATTTACCATTAATTAGAATTCATTTACCACCGTTACTCTTCTTTCTTCTTCTCTTCTCTCATAAACTATCGGCTCAGAAAAACTTGTAAAGCAAAAACTATTAAAAATTTTTTAGTACATTTTCGTAAACAGAAACAGCGCTATGCACTCTATAATAAATAATTACGTAGTTAATAAGGAATAAAGGAAAAAAATAATTATTGCATTTTGTGCCAATTTTATTATAATAACTATCAATATTCCACTTTTTGGCAGCACTATGCGCTTTATTATAAGTTAAGTAAAATATTGATAGATTTACATTTTAATTTATAAAGTTAACTCATTATATTATTAGAGTTATTATCAATATTCTACCTTTTGGCAGGCGTCGTTGGAATTGCGAATTTTATAAAAGTGTGCAAAATGTTTTAATTTATTAAATACATGTGAGTAAGAAATAAAACGGAACTTAGCGATGCCAATATGTGTATAAGAAATTGAATTTCTTTAGCGTTGTTTGTATGTTATAAGCGTTGTTGTTGGTGGATAGATGTACGTCAAAAAAACGGGACTTTTCCAAAATCGTGGGAATGTCGAAAAGGCCGACATTTTAAATTTTTATAAAATGGGATGCATCAATAGCACATGTTTACAATTTTATTGTATTGTATGTGTTATTAGCATACTTTTATATGTAAAGTTTAATATATTTTACATATATACTTTTTAATTTAGATAATACAATTAAAATAATTATTTATAATTTTAATAATGAAATTATAAAAAGTTATTTAATTTTATATGGAAAATGTTATGAATAATGTG